ACTGTCGTTCCTTTCTGCTCTTGGTTATCAGCAATCTGCCATACTTAGGGCTTGCAAATATGTTTTGGAGAGTTTTATACAAGAATCTTTTTTTTCCACTTTAACCCACAGGGGACGTGTGTGATTCCAACCCATGCAAAAATGGTGGCATCTGTCTGTCTGGGCTGAATGATGACTTCTACTCATGCGAGTGTCCTGAAGGCTTCACAGACCCCAATTGTTCTAGTGTTGTGGAGGTTGGTAAGTGCAAACTTTAAATGTTGGAATAGTTGTTTCTTTATCCCGTTAGTCTGTGACTGGCCAACCACTGATCACGTCCACTGCATTTTGTGTAGTGCTGTGGCCATTGCATTGTTCATTACTGGTGTCTTAACCATACTTCTCTATCATTAGTATCTATGTCATAAGTAACAAACAGTTAAAACAGTATCGGAAAATTGTGTCTGCAGAACTTAACTCAGAAACTCTCTACTTTACATAGAGAAAAGGTCATAGTTGTGACTTAAAATGACCAACATTTCTCAATTAGATATTTCTATATACCCTTCTACTGATCAATGATAACTTAAAGATTGGTTTCAGATATTTTTATGCCTAGGTCCAGTCAGTAAAGAGTACTTACTTAAACAAGCAAAGTTACAGGAACAGTATAGGAGAAATCAGAGTAACACATAGTAGTCACTTACTTGAATTTCAAAACAATTACTTGGCTAGAAGTTATGATTCATCATAAGATGAGTACACAGAGTGCAAGTCAAATGCACTGAAATTTTGTGATGTGTGCTTGACTCAGAATAAATGTACGTATGACTGGTAGCTCCAAAACATCCAGTAGGCCAAGCCTCCGTCTTAAGAAAACTTAAGGAGAAAAAGAAAGTGCAAGGGAAAAAGACGGTAGAAAGCTCATTAGGTCATGAGCCATCCCACCATTTTCAGTGGAGCGGAAGAGCTGCAAGTTGACCAAGGTCTTAAATTATCTTGCAGTAGGTATAAAATTATGTATTGTAGAGCAAAACAATAAATAGACACTGCTGTTTTAATGATACATTTTCTACCTATCTCCTCCATGGAGTTGTGGGAGTTAGAATAGGAAGGTAAAAGATATGGAAAAGCATTGACTTGCAGAAGAGATGGCAGTGTCTTTCACTTGCTTGCATTAGGAGCATATGCCAAAGTGGAGGTTTTGTGATGGCACCTCTTATCTGACGGCTTTGCAAGCCCTGCATGCGTGCCTTCTGCTGACAGCCAAAGCGTCTGAAAGCAGTACAACCCTTCAAGTATTTTAATGCCATACGTCCATGTCTGTGATTCATCAATCTGTGTTACGCTAACAGGCTTCAGTCTATGACAGCTGAGCAACGGTCACACATTTTGCTTCCACCAGCTCTAGCGTAGGATGCCAACCCCAGGCAGAAAAGCGACGACAACAGCCTTGCTCCTACATGTGTGTCATTGAAACAGTCACAGCTAGGGTCATCACCTCCCTCACTCTGCAGCTCTCCTAAATTTTGGGGTTTAACTTTTTAATAAAAAAATTAAGGCTACACAGGCACAACAACTGTTATGGGAACTCAGTATATCCCTCTCTATCATGAGATAAGGCTAGCAGAACTTAGTCCAGGAACCCAGGGTTGCTTTGGTTTTTGTTTGTTTTTTTTTTCTCTTGTGAATATGATATTACTCTTGTTCTGGGAGTGAATTTTAAGCCTCTATAATTCAATTTTAAGGGAATTTGTATTTAATTTGATTTCACATAGAATCACAGAATCACAGAATGATATGGGGTTGGAAGGGACCTCTGGAGATCATCTAGTCCAACCCCCCTGCCAGAGCAGGTCCAGCCAGAGCAGGTTGCACAGGAACTTGTCCAGGTGGGTTTTGAATGTCTCCAGAGAAGGAGACTCCACCACCTCTCTGGGCAGCCTGTTCCAGGGCTCTGCCACCCTCAAAGTAAAGAAGTTCCTCCTCATGTTTAGATGGAACTTCCTATGTTCAAGTTTGTGTCCGTTGCCCCTTGTCCTGTCACTGAGCACCACTGAAAAATGACTGACCCTGTCCTCTTGACAGCCACAGTATTTATTTTCTCCAGACAAATGGACTGGTTCCTGTATGACCAACTTTGGTAAGACACCATAGCATTTTTTTGTGACTGTAAAATGTCATAGTAGCTGGTTATTACCTGACATTCAAGTTGCATGAGAAACTGCTCTTGCCTTAGCGCAGCCACACAAGAAGCAGGTATACACTGCCTCAAAATCCTGTTTTCCATCCCTTTCCTTACCGTTTTATGCATGCTTGAAGAGGGTCTGAATTTATCCTACAGCTATATATCATGCTAGCCTAAAATGGCCTTGACATGGGTTTACTGCAGGAAACTTTTGGATTTATCGCATGCTTGGTTGGAAGGAAATTGCACTGCACATAACTGGAAGGATGTTGATCATTAGTAAATCTGATATAAAAGCATATTTTGATAATTGTCACTATAAATTACAGCTAAATATTAACAGGGCTTTAAAAAATACACATATACTTAACTACAGTCTTCAATCACTTCAACGAAATCTCAGTTTGGTAAACAGAGTGAAGTATAAGCACATAGAAAGCTTGAGAATATGTAGTAATCACAGTGTTTATACAGGCAGAATATTACATTTTTAGTTTACAATCTGGAGGGAGGATTTACTGGACAAATTGATTAAGTAAAGGACAGATAATATTCCAATTTTAGCTAAAATCTTGAGTGTTAATTTAGTGTTTGTTTTGTGTTATTATACTACATGTACAGATTCAGAAACTAGCCAATACTTTTTCAAAACTTTAAAAAAAATTTTTAAAATAATCTTTTACTGTTTAGTAGTGGCTAGCTGAGGCTTATTCAGCTTTACATTCCCCTACACAGAGTCACACAAACCACTGAAAAAAATGGTTTTTCAAGATAATATTTTGATTGTTCCTATGAAAATGATGATGAACAGTGTAAGCTATTAGTCAGTTAGACTCCATTAATTCAAACACCGTAGTGTTTCCAGTAAATTAATCAGTTGAAAGGTGGGTCTGTGAGAATCCCAGGAGTGCAAGACCTCATGGAATCACTTTTATCAGCAGTACTTATTAGTAGACGTAATAATGGAGAAAGAATGTTAAAAAAGTTTACTTCTCTTTGGCTTTTTTAATGAGTTATTTCTCAACAGTTATTTCTCTTAATTCTTAGTATCAAAAAAGGTTTCTTGACAATTTTCTGTGTAGTGGAAAGCATTAAGTAGGTTGAAAATTAAGCATCTAGGGTGTCAGGAAACACTGAGTAAGAAGAATAGAGGAGAGTGGCAGTTAAAAGCCCAGCACAGAGAAGAGCCCACGTCAGTCTGTCTCCCCTCGAAAGGGCTGTACAGCAAACTTTAAAAGTAGTTGAGTGTTCTGTGCAGCCGTCTCATTAAATCACAAAATCACAGAGTGGTAGGGGTTGGAAGAGACCTTCATAAATCATCTAGTCCAATCCCCTTTCCAGAGCGGGTCCACCCAGAGCAGGTTGCACAGGAACGTGTCCAGGTGAGTTTTGAATGTCTCCAGAGGAGGAGACTCCATCATCTCTCTGGGCAGCCTGTTCCAGGGCTCTGCCACCCTCAAAGTAAAGAAGTTCCTCCACATGTTTAGATGGAATTTTCTGTGTTCCAGCTTGTGTCCATTGCCTCCTGTCCTGTCACTGGGCACCACTGAGAAGAGACTGACCCCATCGCCCTTCAGATATTTATAAGCACTGATCAGATCCCCCCTCAATCTTCTCTTCTCCAGACTAAAAAGACCGAGGTCTCTCAACCTTTCCTCATAAGAGAGGTGCTCCATTCCCTTGATCGTCTTTGTAGCACTGCATTGGACCCTCTCCAGCAGTTCACTGCTTCTTGCATTGGAGGACACAATATTTCAGATGCAGCCTCACCAGGACAGACTAGAGGGGGAGGATAACCTCCCTCAGTCTGCTGGCCATGCTTTTTTTAATGCACCCCAGCAGCAGGCCCACATTTCCCCTAGTCTTCCTTCTTCTACTGATGTACTTGAAGTAGCTTTTCTTATTTCATTGACATATCATGACAGGTTTAATTCCAAGCAGGCCTTAGTCTTCCTTGTTACATCCCAGCATACTCTGACAAAGTTCCTATACTTCTTCCAAGCAGCCAGTCCTTTTTTCCAAATTCTGTAAACTTCCTTCTTCCATCTGAGTTTTTCCAGAAGCTCCTTGCTCATCCATGCAGGTTTGCTGCCCCTTTGACTAATTTCTTGCTCCTAGTGCTGCACTGATCTTGAGCTTGGAAGAAGTGTTGCTTAAATATTAACCAGTTCTCTTGCACCCCCTTTCCTTCTAGAGCCATAGTCCATGGAATTCCTTGAAGCAGGTCTTTGAAGAGGCCAAAGTCAGCTCTCCTGAAGCTCAGGTCCTACTTTCTAGCCTGCTTCTTCCATGCAGGATGTTGAACTCCACCATCTCATGGTCACTGCAGCCAAGACTACACCTGGTCTTTACATCCCCAATTAGACCTTCTTTGTCAGTATAAGGTCCAGCAGAGCACCTCTTCTTCTTGGCTCCTCCATCACCTATGTCAAGAAGTTATCATCAGTGCTCTGCCAAAATCTCTGGGACTGTGGGTGCCTGGCAGTGTTGTCTTTCCATCAAATTTCAGGGTAGTTCAAGTCTCCCATAAGAACCAGGGCCTGTGATCATGAGGCTATTTCCATCTGCCTGTAGAAGGCCTCATTGACTTCCTCTTCCTGATCCGGTGGTCTATAGTACACACCCACAACAGCATCTCCCATATTAACCTGGCCCTTAATTCTTACCCATAAGCTCTCAGCATGTTCTTCATCCACCCCTAGGCAGAGCCCACTACATTCTAGTTGCTCTCTCATGTACAGACCAACTCCACCACCATGCCCCCGTGGCCTGTCTTTCCTAAAAAGTACATAGCCATCCATGACAGCAGTCCAGTGATGCAAGCTATCCTGCCATGTCTTTAATTCCAATGAGATCAGGCCCTTCAGCCGCACACAGATCTCTACTATTAGACAGTATTAGACTTTATTCAGTCCAGGTGACAGCATACTGTTTATCTCTGGACACTAGCTGGAAAGTCAGAAATTTTCAAGGAATTTACCCCAGACAGGAATCGAGGAGCACTGAAGGACTGCGGGTGCTCAAGTCCTTTAGCCTCTGTCCCTGCCGTGGAGTTGGTGGGTCACAAGTCACAGTGAAAGCCTCCCTGGGGCTGTGTGACCATACGACATCTTTTAGTCATAGGGCTCCACATCAAAAATCATTGATGGGGTGTCAATCTACCATTAGAATTAAATTGCTCAAACACTTCAATGGCTTTAGTCTGTACTGTCAAACTTTATCCTAGGAATAAAGTATAATTGGTCTTTGTGTGACTGACATAAATCCAACATAGAAGGACACTGCTGGCTTGAATGCCGTGCTCTGTGTTTAGCAGAAATACAGTAGTGTGCTGGTACCTGATCTGGATCAAATCTGTACTGCTGGGTGATTTAAGAGTGTGTACTTACTGGAGCACATCACAGAATCACAGAATCTTAGTGGTTGGAAGGGACCTCCGAGATCATCGAGTCCAACCACAAAAAAAAACAAACCAAAACAAAAAAAACCCACCACACAACCACCACAAAAACAACAAACCCAAAACCACCACCCACCAACTAAACCCCACACACTACACCCCACCACAAACCAATAATCTTGGGCACTAGAGCATGCCCTGAAGAGCCACATCTACACGTTTCTTAAATACCTCCAGGGATGGTGACTCCACCACCTCCCTGGGCAGGCTGTTCCAGTGCCTGACCACTCTTTCAGTAAAGTAATTCTTCCTAATATCTAATCTGAATCTCCACTGCCGCAGCTTCATACCATTACCTCTGGTCCTGTCATTATTCCCTTGGGAGAAGAGGCCAACCCCCGCCTCTACACCCTCCTGTCAGGGAGCTGTAGAGGGCAATGAGGTCTCCCCTCAGCCTCCTCTTCTCCAAACTAAACATGCCCAGTTCCTCTCCTCATAGGACTTGTTCTCCAGACCCCTCACCAGTGAGTCCAAGAGAATTACTTTCTACAGAGTAGAAGACAAGGGGAAAATGATTACACAGAGGTGTGCTGTTAAAGAAATGTAAAATGGAGGTAACCAAAAAGTATTCAAAGAACATAGAGACTGTCGTTCCTTTCTGCTCTTGGTTATCAGCAATCTGCCATACTTAGGGCTTGCAAATATGTTTTGGAGAGTTTTATACAAGAATCTTTTTTTTCCACTTTAACCCACAGGGGACGTGTGTGATTCCAACCCATGCAAAAATGGTGGCATCTGTCTGTCTGGGCTGAATGATGACTTCTACTCATGCGAGTGTCCTGAAGGCTTCACAGACCCCAATTGTTCTAGTGTTGTGGAGGTTGGTAAGTGCAAACTTTAAATGTTGGAATAGTTGTTTCTTTATCCCGTTAGTCTGTGACTGGCCAACCACTGATCACGTCCACTGCATTTTGTGTAGTGCTGTGGCCATTGCATTGTTCATTACTGGTGTCTTAACCATACTTCTCTATCATTAGTATCTATGTCATAAGTAACAAACAGTTAAAACAGTATCGGAAAATTGTGTCTGCAGAACTTAACTCAGAAACTCTCTACTTTACATAGAGAAAAGGTCATAGTTGTGACTTAAAATGACCAACATTTCTCAATTAGATATTTCTATATACCCTTCTACTGATCAATGATAACTTAAAGATTGGTTTCAGATATTTTTATGCCTAGGTCCAGTCAGTAAAGAGTACTTACTTAAACAAGCAAAGTTACAGGAACAGTATAGGAGAAATCAGAGTAACACATAGTAGTCACTTACTTGAATTTCAAAACAATTACTTGGCTAGAAGTTATGATTCATCATAAGATGAGTACACAGAGTGCAAGTCAAATGCACTGAAATTTTGTGATGTGTGCTTGACTCAGAATAAATGTACGTATGACTGGTAGCTCCAAAACATCCAGTAGGCCAAGCCTCCGTCTTAAGAAAACTTAAGGAGAAAAAGAAAGTGCAAGGGAAAAAGACGGTAGAAAGCTCATTAGGTCATGAGCCATCCCACCATTTTCAGTGGAGCGGAAGAGCTGCAAGTTGACCAAGGTCTTAAATTATCTTGCAGTAGGTATAAAATTATGTATTGTAGAGCAAAACAATAAATAGACACTGCTGTTTTAATGATACATTTTCTACCTATCTCCTCCATGGAGTTGTGGGAGTTAGAATAGGAAGGTAAAAGATATGGAAAAGCATTGACTTGCAGAAGAGATGGCAGTGTCTTTCACTTGCTTGCATTAGGAGCATATGCCAAAGTGGAGGTTTTGTGATGGCACCTCTTATCTGACGGCTTTGCAAGCCCTGCATGCGTGCCTTCTGCTGACAGCCAAAGCGTCTGAAAGCAGTACAACCCTTCAAGTATTTTAATGCCATACGTCCATGTCTGTGATTCATCAATCTGTGTTACGCTAACAGGCTTCAGTCTATGACAGCTGAGCAACGGTCACACATTTTGCTTCCACCAGCTCTAGCGTAGGATGCCAACCCCAGGCAGAAAAGCGACGACAACAGCCTTGCTCCTACATGTGTGTCATTGAAACAGTCACAGCTAGGGTCATCACCTCCCTCACTCTGCAGCTCTCCTAAATTTTGGGGTTTAACTTTTTAATAAAAAAATTAAGGCTACACAGGCACAACAACTGTTATGGGAACTCAGTATATCCCTCTCTATCATGAGATAAGGCTAGCAGAACTTAGTCCAGGAACCCAGGGTTGCTTTGGTTTTTGTTTGTTTTTTTTTTCTCTTGTGAATATGATATTACTCTTGTTCTGGGAGTGAATTTTAAGCCTCTATAATTCAATTTTAAGGGAATTTGTATTTAATTTGATTTCACATAGAATCACAGAATCACAGAATGATATGGGGTTGGAAGGGACCTCTGGAGATCATCTAGTCCAACCCCCCTGCCAGAGCAGGTCCAGCCAGAGCAGGTTGCACAGGAACTTGTCCAGGTGGGTTTTGAATGTCTCCAGAGAAGGAGACTCCACCACCTCTCTGGGCAGCCTGTTCCAGGGCTCTGCCACCCTCAAAGTAAAGAAGTTCCTCCTCATGTTTAGATGGAACTTCCTATGTTCAAGTTTGTGTCCGTTGCCCCTTGTCCTGTCACTGAGCACCACTGAAAAATGACTGACCCTGTCCTCTTGACAGCCACAGTATTTATTTTCTCCAGACAAATGGACTGGTTCCTGTATGACCAACTTTGGTAAGACACCATAGCATTTTTTTGTGACTGTAAAATGTCATAGTAGCTGGTTATTACCTGACATTCAAGTTGCATGAGAAACTGCTCTTGCCTTAGCGCAGCCACACAAGAAGCAGGTATACACTGCCTCAAAATCCTGTTTTCCATCCCTTTCCTTACCGTTTTATGCATGCTTGAAGAGGGTCTGAATTTATCCTACAGCTATATATCATGCTAGCCTAAAATGGCCTTGACATGGGTTTACTGCAGGAAACTTTTGGATTTATCGCATGCTTGGTTGGAAGGAAATTGCACTGCACATAACTGGAAGGATGTTGATCATTAGTAAATCTGATATAAAAGCATATTTTGATAATTGTCACTATAAATTACAGCTAAATATTAACAGGGCTTTAAAAAATACACATATACTTAACTACAGTCTTCAATCACTTCAACGAAATCTCAGTTTGGTAAACAGAGTGAAGTATAAGCACATAGAAAGCTTGAGAATATGTAGTAATCACAGTGTTTATACAGGCAGAATATTACATTTTTAGTTTACAATCTGGAGGGAGGATTTACTGGACAAATTGATTAAGTAAAGGACAGATAATATTCCAATTTTAGCTAAAATCTTGAGTGTTAATTTAGTGTTTGTTTTGTGTTATTATACTACATGTACAGATTCAGAAACTAGCCAATACTTTTTCAAAACTTTAAAAAAAATTTTTAAAATAATCTTTTACTGTTTAGTAGTGGCTAGCTGAGGCTTATTCAGCTTTACATTCCCCTACACAGAGTCACACAAACCACTGAAAAAAATGGTTTTTCAAGATAATATTTTGATTGTTCCTATGAAAATGATGATGAACAGTGTAAGCTATTAGTCAGTTAGACTCCATTAATTCAAACACCGTAGTGTTTCCAGTAAATTAATCAGTTGAAAGGTGGGTCTGTGAGAATCCCAGGAGTGCAAGACCTCATGGAATCACTTTTATCAGCAGTACTTATTAGTAGACGTAATAATGGAGAAAGAATGTTAAAAAAGTTTACTTCTCTTTGGCTTTTTTAATGAGTTATTTCTCAACAGTTATTTCTCTTAATTCTTAGTATCAAAAAAGGTTTCTTGACAATTTTCTGTGTAGTGGAAAGCATTAAGTAGGTTGAAAATTAAGCATCTAGGGTGTCAGGAAACACTGAGTAAGAAGAATAGAGGAGAGTGGCAGTTAAAAGCCCAGCACAGAGAAGAGCCCACGTCAGTCTGTCTCCCCTCGAAAGGGCTGTACAGCAAACTTTAAAAGTAGTTGAGTGTTCTGTGCAGCCGTCTCATTAAATCACAAAATCACAGAGTGGTAGGGGTTGGAAGAGACCTTCATAAATCATCTAGTCCAATCCCCTTTCCAGAGCGGGTCCACCCAGAGCAGGTTGCACAGGAACGTGTCCAGGTGAGTTTTGAATGTCTCCAGAGGAGGAGACTCCATCATCTCTCTGGGCAGCCTGTTCCAGGGCTCTGCCACCCTCAAAGTAAAGAAGTTCCTCCACATGTTTAGATGGAATTTTCTGTGTTCCAGCTTGTGTCCATTGCCTCCTGTCCTGTCACTGGGCACCACTGAGAAGAGACTGACCCCATCGCCCTTCAGATATTTATAAGCACTGATCAGATCCCCCCTCAATCTTCTCTTCTCCAGACTAAAAAGACCGAGGTCTCTCAACCTTTCCTCATAAGAGAGGTGCTCCATTCCCTTGATCGTCTTTGTAGCACTGCATTGGACCCTCTCCAGCAGTTCACTGCTTCTTGCATTGGAGGACACAATATTTCAGATGCAGCCTCACCAGGACAGACTAGAGGGGGAGGATAACCTCCCTCAGTCTGCTGGCCATGCTTTTTTTAATGCACCCCAGCAGCAGGCCCACATTTCCCCTAGTCTTCCTTCTTCTACTGATGTACTTGAAGTAGCTTTTCTTATTTCATTGACATATCATGACAGGTTTAATTCCAAGCAGGCCTTAGTCTTCCTTGTTACATCCCAGCATACTCTGACAAAGTTCCTATACTTCTTCCAAGCAGCCAGTCCTTTTTTCCAAATTCTGTAAACTTCCTTCTTCCATCTGAGTTTTTCCAGAAGCTCCTTGCTCATCCATGCAGGTTTGCTGCCCCTTTGACTAATTTCTTGCTCCTAGTGCTGCACTGATCTTGAGCTTGGAAGAAGTGTTGCTTAAATATTAACCAGTTCTCTTGCACCCCCTTTCCTTCTAGAGCCATAGTCCATGGAATTCCTTGAAGCAGGTCTTTGAAGAGGCCAAAGTCAGCTCTCCTGAAGCTCAGGTCCTACTTTCTAGCCTGCTTCTTCCATGCAGGATGTTGAACTCCACCATCTCATGGTCACTGCAGCCAAGACTACACCTGGTCTTTACATCCCCAATTAGACCTTCTTTGTCAGTATAAGGTCCAGCAGAGCACCTCTTCTTCTTGGCTCCTCCATCACCTATGTCAAGAAGTTATCATCAGTGCTCTGCCAAAATCTCTGGGACTGTGGGTGCCTGGCAGTGTTGTCTTTCCATCAAATTTCAGGGTAGTTCAAGTCTCCCATAAGAACCAGGGCCTGTGATCATGAGGCTATTTCCATCTGCCTGTAGAAGGCCTCATTGACTTCCTCTTCCTGATCCGGTGGTCTATAGTACACACCCACAACAGCATCTCCCATATTAACCTGGCCCTTAATTCTTACCCATAAGCTCTCAGCATGTTCTTCATCCACCCCTAGGCAGAGCCCACTACATTCTAGTTGCTCTCTCATGTACAGACCAACTCCACCACCATGCCCCCGTGGCCTGTCGTTCTCTTGCACCCCCTTTCCTTCTAGAGCCATAGTCCATGGAATTCCTTGAAGCAGGTCTTTGAAGAGGCCAAAGTCAGCTCTCCTGAAGCTCAGGTCCTACTTTCTAGCCTGCTTCTTCCATGCAGGATGTTGAACTCCACCATCTCATGGTCACTGCAGCCAAGACTACACCTGGTCTTTACATCCCCAATTAGACCTTCTTTGTCAGTATAAGGTCCAGCAGAGCACCTCTTCTTCTTGGCTCCTCCATCACCTATGTCAAGAAGTTATCATCAGTGCTCTGCCAAAATCTCTGG